TGCCTCGCATCAGCGAGTTGCAGGAGGACGATGACGAGGTAGTTGAACGGGAGACACACCGATGGATAGTTAAGATTGAGGGAGTGTTAGGGGAGAGTTTGGATGCCATGCTACAATAGACAAAAGGAGAGAAATAATTAACAGCATGAGGCGGAGGGAGGACTGGAGTTGGCCTTTGAGGAGCTGGGAATAAGCATGCCATGACGTAGAAAGTTTACACTAGCATGAACTATTAGAGGTTTACTATGTATGTATGTAAAATGGAGAAGCTTGATTCGTTAGTAGTAAGTTAGCATGAGGCTGAAATGCTATGTATGTATGACATGTGAGAGTATGTTGAATACACTCGCATAGGCATGGGTATATTCGGAGTCTTGCTGGGTAGCAAGGGCATGTGAGTCAGCTGGTAGCAGATATTTCTATGGCATCGGACAGCCGGGTCTTGGATATCACAGATTCCGGAGACACGGATCAGTCCGCGACCGTGAGTCCAAGCTCGTGAGCGGAAAACTTTCAAGGTGAGTAAGAAGATGTAAGGGACGGCTCCGGTGAATTATCGTTGGCGGAGTGCTCACCGGGAGGACCGGGGGCCCCAGGCGCAAGTACCGTCTACAAGGAAACCCATCGTAGTAGATCACCCGGAAGGGGTATCAGGTACGAACCAGGCTTAGTACTTTGCTTTGACACCAAGTAAAACACTAAGGTAGGTACGTATGTAGCTGGAGAAAATAGTGACGATGGATTGATATAGACAGTCCAAGTAGCTACTTAAATAGCACCAACGCCCGCTTAGTTATGGCTTTTATAATACTTTTCAGTAAGTCCCAGTCAACGTTTGTTAAACACGCACTCCTAATCACTCTATCTCGGTTCCTCCTATGCTGGTGGAGGCAGCTAGAGAAACGACCCTGCCAAAACACCCACTTACACGGCGCGACTTGCGGTACCGCATACCCACGGTTTAGATATTCTGGTCTGCATCGTCAAGAACTCATTGGCTAGCGTTTCCGTGATACTACGGGTTCTCTAGTCACGCGGAATTCGGAGATACGCCATGATCGGACTTGGTCTACGGCGTACGGGGACAGAACAGCGTTTGTTGGTGAAGTTGGGAAGAGTCACTTGCAAGAGACTGGCCAGTACAGTGACTGAACAAGGTGAGTTCGCTAGCTTGTTGAGAGGGTCAATTGGCTTGTGCTTTTGCCTCTGCGCCTTAAGCCTCAGAGAACCTCATCCCCCGTCACTGTCACTGTCCACCCTAACTAACATGAGCTTTCTTTCAGGGCGTAAAGAGCGCATCGTCGTTCTAGGCTCGGGCTGGGCTGGATACGCTCTGGCAAAGGCAATATCTCCCTCTCAAGCATCTCGGATTCTCATCTCTCCTCGCTCTCACTTCGTCTTCACCCCCCTTATCGCCTCAACCGCCGTTGGCACTCTCGAGTTCCGTGCTGCTGTCGAACCCTGTCGTAAACTCGGTCTTACAGAGTTCCACCAGGCTTGGGCTTCTGATATTGACTTTGCCAACAAGACCATCACCGTCGAAGCTAACCAGCGTGATGGAGTCACGGCTCGCTCAGGCAAGGATCTGTTGAAGGGCCTCGAGTTCCAGGTCCCGTATGATAAGCTTGTAGTCGCTGTCGGGTGCTACAGTCAGACTTTTGGTGTGGAGGGTGTCAAGGAGCACGCATGTTTTCTGAGAGATGCCACAGATGCCCGAACAGTACGTCTAAAAGTGCTGCAGAAGTTCGAGCAGGCTTCTCTGCCTAGCACAAGCGCGGCTCAGAGGAAACGATTACTTCATTTTGCTGTTGTAGGTGGCGGTCCCACAGGTATCGAATACGCGGCTGAGCTTCACGATCTTATACACGAAGACTTGGCCAAGCTGTATCCCGAACTAATGCCTCACGTTGCCATTACCATCTACGACATTGCACCAAAGGTTCTGCCTATGTTTGATCGCAATCTGGCCGCATACGCCACAAACATCTTCAGCCGTGCAGGCATCAAAGTCAAGACCGAGCATCACCTCGAGGGCATTCGACGAGACGACGACGTCCTCCTGATGCGTATCAAGGAGGAGCCTGAAGAAGTCGCAGCAGGCCTTGTCGTCTGGAGCACGGGTCTCATGCAGAACCCTCTGGTAGGCAAGTTGGTCGGACGAGAGGTGGAGGGCATGGGAAAGATCGCAAAGAACTGCAAAACAGGCGGCTTCGCTGTCGATTCCCACCTTCGAGTCCAGGTCGAAGCCCAAGACTCCAGCGGCAAACAAATCACAAAGACACTCCCGGACGTCTACGCAATTGGTGACTGCGCCAATATCCAAGGCGAATCACTTCCTGCCACTGCACAAGTAGCAAGTCAACAGGCTACATATCTCGGCAAGAGATTCAACGCCGGGACATCTTCTCAGGGGCCTCCAACCGCCCCCTTTCACTTCCGTAACTGGGGTACAATGGCGTATCTTGGAGGTTGGAGGGCTATTCATCAGAAGGGTACTGATGAGCTCAAAGGTCGAGCGGCGTGGATTCTATGGCGGACGGCGTATTTGACAAAGAGCATGAGTCTAAAGAATAAGCTCATGATTCCGTTTTACTGGTTGGTTACATGGATTTTTGGTCGAGATATCTCGAGGTTCTAGGTTCTAGGGCAATCGATTGTTGGAAAGCCTCGGAGCCACTGGAAAGATTTAAGAAAATACGCCTCCAACTCTGATGGGGTTTTTTTTTACCTCATCAATAACTCATATAGTACGTACTTATGTATTAATCACAAATAAAGTGAAGTGCTGCCAAGTCTTCTATAAGCTCACAGTTGTACAATCCATTCCATGCCCTACCCTATGTCATTATAACTCATCATCACTTGTAATATCGCTCACTCCACCCTTACCGTTCCAAATATATTTCCGTTCGCAAAAAACACAACTCTAATTGGCAAACAGAAATTGAAGCATAAGCCAAAAAGAGTTAATTATATGCAGGTCTCCACTCCCAACTATATCATCAATTACCAGACACTGATGTCGCTAACCCCGCCAAAGCCGTCCGCCTGATTTCGTCACCATCAACCATCCGCCATGGCCAAGCCTACAGTCAACTACGGCCTATACTTGGTCACAGACTCGACGCCAGAGATTCTGGGCGATCGCAGCCTTGAAGAAGTAGTTGAGGCTTCTTTGCGAGGCGGTGTCACCATCCTTCAATACCGAGACAAGCATAGTGAGCGCTCAGTCGCTGTAGACACAGCCAACAAGCTACACGCCGTTGCCCGTCGTTACAATGTCCCCCTTCTCATCAACGATCGTGTCGACATTGCCGCTGAGATAGACTGTGAGGGTGTGCATATTGGACAGGATGATATGGGTATGTTGTGTTGATATCTCTCACTGCCTAGGCACCCATCAAGATATGATCTGATCATTTGGTACAGCATATGAAGAAGCAAGAAAGCTTCTTGGCCCCAACAAAATCATTGGCGTAACCGCAAGTTCAAAAGAAGAAGCTCTCAAAGCTTGCGAAGCCGGTGCTGACTACCTCGGTATCGGAACTGTCTACTCAACTCAGACGTGAGTGATATACAAGCATCATGTGTGACTCACATCAGCCCCTGACATACCATCAGCAAAAAGGATACAAAATCTATCATCGGTCCCTCGGGAGTCCGGGATATTCTCTCAGCCCTGTATGATGCTGGCTATGGTTCCGTCCCTACTGTTTGTATAGGCGGTATCAACGCCAGCAACACTGCCCCTGTTCTCGCTGCAGCCGGGTCCCCTTCCAAGTCTCTCGATGGTGTTGCTGTAGTGAGCGCTCTCATCGCTGCTCCTGAGCCAGCCACCGCTGCCCGTGATCTCCTCGGTAAGGTCGTCGTCGCCAAAATCCCCGAAGTCATCAAGGCCGTAGCCGACAAGACGCCCCTTTCTCATAACATGACCAACTTGGTGAGTACAGTTCGGTTCATGTCATGACCATGTTGAATTCTCACGCTGGAAATCCAGGTCGTTCAAAACTTTGCCGCCAATGTGGCTCTCTGTGTTGGGGCAAGCCCCATCATGGCCAACTACGCGGAAGAAGCTGCTGATCTTGCCAAACTTGGAGGTGCTCTTGTGGTCAACATGGGCACCGTCACTCCCGATGGACTCAAGAACTATCTCCAAGCCATCAAGGCCTACAATGAAGCTGAGAGACCTATAGTCCTTGATCCTGTCGGGTAAGTCTCCAAAATACCATCAATTAATCAACTTTACTCATGTTCTCAGCGCTGGTGCGACCACTGTTCGTCGAGATGCTGTCAAGACTCTTCTCGATGCTGGGCATTTTACCGTCATCAAGGGCAATGAAGGCGAGATTCAGACTGTAGCCGGCGCCACAACTACACAACGGGGCGTCGACTCAACTTCTTCCCTCACTTTTACTCAAAAGGCATCCCTTGTACGCTCCATCGCCTTGCACCGGCAAACCGTCGTCGTACTCACAGGCGCCACCGACCTCGTAAGTGACGGAACTCGTACTATAGCCATCAGCAATGGACATCCCTATCTTGGCGAAGTCACAGGCACTGGGTGCACTCTTGGCACAACAGTCAGCGCCATGGTTGCTGCGTACGGTGCTGACCCTCTTCTCGCTGCTGTCGCCGCAACTGTCATGTTTGGACTCGCTGCTGAGCTCGCCGCCGCGCGAAACGAAGTCCGTGGACCAGGCTCATTCGTGCCGACATTCCTTGATGAGCTGTACAGTATCCGAAAGTCGACTGCCAAGGGTGACCTGCGGTGGCTGAATATGGCCAATGTCAAGGCAGTTGATGTTGATGTCAATGTCATTCCAGGTGAATGAAGTTCGCCATACAAGAAGCGAAAATTGCTAAATAGATAAAAAAGAAAACTCCATCTGTCTCGAACGAGCTTACTTTATACCACGAAAAAGAGAAAAAACATTGTTGAGTAACACAACGACCTAATGCTAAGATGTTGATACAGCCTTCTTCACCGACTTCCTAAGGCGTCAAGTCGACTCATTCAAGACACCAGGGTCACCGATAATGTTCCATACATTATAGCCTCTTGTAGCCGCCGCTTGCCAAAAGTCCGTTCCTGAATCATCCATCAAGAAGTCTTGACTAAAGTCCACCAGATCAGCGTTGCCAGATCCCGTAAGTAGACGCTGTCTCTCAGCCTTGACCAAATCTCTCACAGACTTGAGCTGCTTCACAAGTCTCTCGAAAGGATCTGGTGGAGGCGCGGGTGTAGCTGCTGTTGTCCCCCCGGGCGTCGGTGTACCTAGCATGTTGCCGTGTTTGCGGCGCCCCACGATGATGTCCAGATCCTGGGCCTGCTGGCTCATCACCTCGACCATGTCAAGCTCTGCGTGTATCTGGGCAAGGTTCCACCCGGGTAATTGAAGTGTTACGACCTTGATGCCAACAATGATAGTGTACACAAGCTCAGACGCACTCATACACAGGAAACGTGGGCGTTCCATTTCTCGATGATCGAACCGGATATCGAAAAAGGTCTTGAGGGATCGGACGCAAGCCCAAAGAAGTTGGAGTCGGTCAGTTAGAGGAAGATAGGATGCTGCAGAGTGTTGATCCGAGACGGCGATCTCATAGAGGAGCACCTCGGCTACGTTGACATGGGTCTTGAGATTATCTAAACCATGGTGAGCGCTAGACGGTTGGGATGGGGTGACATAAAGTGTACATACCGTTATCAGCAAACCGTGGGCCAAGATTGTCTTTGTACAGCTGTAACTGTTCCTCAAACGATTGCACAACCATTGTCAATGGTAGTTTACTGGCGGTCTGACTTAGGTTCTCTGTTGACATTGTGGCAGATATGGACTGTGCCAGCTGCTGAATGCGCACCAGCTTTATCAAGTACTCATCAGAGGGGTGCTGCATAGTTCTCTCAAGAACTCTACAGCACATTTCCAGATGGCTGGTATTCATAAGGACATCAGGCCGCTTGTTCGCTGTGAACACTCTAATCCACGTCAGAAAACCTCAGAATGAAGGCTGGTAGTTCTTACAAAGTATTTAGGTAATAAGTGCCAGCGTAAACTCTCATATGATCAAGATTGCGATCAGATTCTTCTCCTTGCAGGCTCGTATCTTCTGTGAACCTCAAATTTACACATATAGCTCTAGCAAGGAACAGCAGATTTGTCACTTGAGAGCCCTTCAACGCATAGTGAAACCTGCGGCAAGTCAGGGGCGTGCCAACGAAACGGTCGCCATATCAGTATGTACATACCATGCCACCAGCATTTGCAAGCTCTGGAGTAGATCCAGACTGTTCAGGCCGTCCACGACAGCTGCTCGTCCAATCTCAGCTAGTAATTCTTGGCCAAGCTTAACCTGTCTAGCTCCATCAAGAAACAACCCTACCATCATGACAGCCTTCCACAGGAATGGCCGATGCTCACGTAGCTCCAGGGCCGTCATATGCCCAGGAACACACACAAACGGAAATAGACATGAGTGGATTGTCCTATAGCCGTTGAGAAGTAGCTCCGCTTCCCGGGGCGTGGGCCACCAGGAGTCCCATGGGCGTGTCTTGTCAGGAGCTGATGGTGGAGGATGTTGACCGGGGGTATTTTCAATTCCCGGCTTTAAGGGAAACAAGTGATTGAACCCCCAGGCATCAGATTTGGTCAACAACTCCGAGCGTTTCTCACTCGTCGAAGGTGGAGGCGAGGAATCCTCCTCTTCTGAAGACTCACGCCTTACGTGCGAGGACAGCTCTTCAAGGCGTTTCTCCAAAGCAGCTATCTTAGACAGCTTCGGGCTTCTACGGGGCCGGGCCGGAGCCGGAGTTTGGTTAACACATGGCTTGTCTAGTCGATGGCACCTTGAAAGTTGAGACTCTGATGTCAGCAGCTGTACCTAACCACAAACTTACATGTGTGTATGCAGTCAAATAGACGAATTTTGAGATAAAAACAACCAACACAAGCCATGAATAACACCATCCTCAAAAGAACTAATTGTCGTAACTTACCGGTCGCATTTGAGGCTCCCTAGAGGTCTAGGGACGCACCTTGCCTTAGCTTTAGCGCATGTTGTACAGGCCTTGGGTCCCTTGTTCTTAGCCTGACTAGAGTTGGGGCTCATATTGTCATTGCTGAGTTATCTGATTCTTGTTAGTCTCACAGAAGCAGAAAAAGCGGTTTGCAAAAGGAGACGGAGTTGAAAACGGCGTCGATATGCCAGACACTGGACGATATTCTCTGGACCCCTGTCATTTGGGTTGTCGTTTGACTGGTCTAAGGCTGGCAGGACGCAGGGATCTCGTCACCAAGACGGAGACGGACCACGAAATCTCACCGGGCCTCCGCCTCATGGACGTCCATCATTCAGCTCTCCACCAACCTATTATTCAGAGACTTCGGTACAACATTCTTCCGAAAATTGATCTCACCGTCATATCATGACTTGATCTATCTACGTAGGACAAATTATCCGTCATAACTTGTGGTCATGATGATCACAATTAGTATAAAAAAAAGATAAAAAAAGTCCACGACTATTTGGGAAACAATGGTATGGTTACTCCATATCACAAGATGTGACAATGGGGGAATAAATCAATTGGTATGCCCAGAGGACAGCATAAATGGTAAAAGATATCTCAAAACGAGTGTTATATCTGCATAGAAGTGAATTTGAATACTGCTCATCATCCATCCATTGACGATGTCAGTGCGCTTGGGTTCCTCCCATCGCTCAAGCAACAGTAGCAGCCTGAGAAGTCTGCTTGATCTCAAGCTCGAGAAGAGCTTCGGTAACGCCGTTGGCAGCTTGACCGGTAGCTTTAATCTCCTTGGTGGCCTGCTCAATGTTGAGCTGCTTATCAGTCCATAGAGGCTCCTGCACATTATCCTGCTCGCCAACACCAATGAAGCCGCCCTCAGCAGCCCAATCAGAGGTTCGCTTGATGTCGAGACGAGTCCAGATCTCATCGATAGCCTCAACAAGCTGGTCGCGGTACTCCTTGATGTGTCCGGGAGTTGGGGTTACGCGGAGCCGCTCCTGGCCAACGGGAACCGTAGGGTAATTGATAGCCTGGACGTAGATTCCGTAGTCATTGAGGAGCATGTCGGAGGCCTCCTTTGCAGTTTCGGCGTTGCCAACAAGGATAGGTACAATGTGAGAAGGGTTGGGGATCACGGGAATGTCCCGAGCATTCATAGCTTCCTTGACAGCGCGAGTGTGTAGCTGCTGGAGTCGTCGATCACCATCAAAGCCCATCTGGTACTCGATGGAAGCCTGAGCACCGGCCATTGTGGCAGGGGGAAGAGAAGTAGTGAAAATGAACCCAGGGGCCAGTGACCGGATCATATCAATGAATTTGGCGCTGCCTGCGATGTAGCCACCAACGCAACCATAAGCTTTGCCCAGAGTGCCAGTAATAATGTCAATTCGGTCCATGATGGTTCCGCGAGGGGCACCATTGGCGTGTGCCTCCCAGTCAAGGTGCTCAGCGACACCAGCACCGTGAGGTCCGTACATACCAACGGCATGCACCTCGTCGAGGAAAGTAATGGCACCGTACCTGTCTGCAAGATCACAGATCTCCTCGATAGGACCAATAGAGCCGCACATGCTATAGACTGACTCGAAGGCGATGATCTTGGGCACATACAGAGGAAGTGATGCCAGCTTAGCCTCGAGATCTTGCACATCGTTATGCTTGAAGACGATCTTTTTGGTGCCGGAATGGCGAATGCCCTGAATCATGGATGCGTGGTTCAGGCTGTCGGAGAGAATAACACAATCGGGCATCTTACTGCCGAGCGTCGCGAGAGTCGCATCATTGGCGACATAGCAGGAACTGAAGACAAGAGCACCCTCCTTAGCGTGCAGCTTTGCCAAGGTGCTCTCGAGCTCAACTGCGTGCCTGTTGTGGCCAGAGATGTTTCGAGTTCCACCAGCGCCAGCACCATACTCCTCCAATGTTTCATGCATCTTTCGGAGGACATGAGGGTTGCGGCCCATGCCTAGATAATCGTTGGCGCACCACACAGTTACTCGATCCTCCTTGTCGGACATATGCGCACGGGGAAACTCCTTAGCCAAACGGTTGATGTTGTTGAAATAGCGGTATGATTTGTCCTTGTGTTTCTTCTCGAGCTCGGCATTGTAGAATCCTTCGTAATCGAATTTACCAGGAGAGTGGAAGCCAGCGGCGGCGGCGGCAGCGGTCGGAGAAGCAGAAGTAGGCTTTCGGGTTGCGTGAACACCAGGAGGCGCGGGAGCTGAGGGACAAGTGTCAGAATAAGAATAGGCGGTATCACCAAGAGCATTTCTAACAGAAAGACAACTTACCATTGTCACGGCCGTCAAAGAGCGGGCGGTCGACGGCGCGAGCCTCTTTGTTGCGGGTGGTGTGAATTTTGGCCTTGCCAGTCTTAGAGTGGCCAGAGAAAGCACGAACAGAACCAGCAGCGCGACTCTTGGCGGTCTGAACGGCCATGGCCTTTCCCATGACAGGGCATCGCTGGCCAAGCAACTGAAGCTTGGACATGGTGCCGCCGCATGGAGAGGCGGGAGCCGGAAGGGCACGAGTCGAGGTGGACAGGGCACGCAGAGTGGCAGGCGTGGCCGTCTTCATAAAAGGGCACATGGCCTTGGACTGACGAAGGACGGCATCCATTGTTGCGTGTATTCGACAGTATTCGTAGAATTGAGAGGACAATGCCTTCGTTGAGTAAATCGGCGGGGCAAAACGTGGTGTTTTCGAACTTGGAGGGGCAAAGCGGAAAAAAACGACCGAGGGCTTACAGTCAGCCGCAAGAAGTGAGACAATCCACAAGCAATTGGGCCTTGAGCAGCTAACTAGAGAATAGCGAGGTTGGCGACGTCGAAATGTGAGGAGAGAGAAAAGGAAGAAGACAGTGGGAAAATAGCGGCTATGTAGTGAGTGTGACTGAGGTAGGATTGGAATCAATAATGAGTCGGCGGTGGTTCGGCAAGAACGGTCGGTCATTGACCCACTGAATGCTTCCGTTTCGGTTCCGTCCTTTTTCTTCGTTCTCTCCACCTCTGACAAGCGCTCAACGAGTTCAACTCCGCGCAGATTTCCCTATTCGGGCAAGTGAGCTGTGCATTCTTCTGCCGATGCAGGGCATTTCCCTCTGCAGACTGGTTACCTTAGTTTGACACGTGAATTGTTTGAGCCACTCTAGGCACTCAGATTGGTAATGTGAATGAATGTACTTTACCTCTATCAACGTCTCTTCAACAGATACATGCGCTGCAACTCTCACCGAAAGTACCTGCTTTTGCCTCACCTTTTGTGAAGAATATAACCAGCGGCCTACAGCGGCCCGCAGCCTCAAAAGGCGAAAGCCCGCACATGCCGATGTTGGCACGTACAGGGGAGACAGTGCCCGAGTCAAACTCAGGGACAGCCGTAACGAAATACCTCGCTCGTGATTGGCTCGTCCTTTTTGCACTCTAGATCCCAGCAGAGGCTAGATCTGTCCATTACTTTCCGGTTATTGGTTGGCTATCGTTGAATTGTCATTGAAAGGCGGACATGACGAGGTTCATCAACTTGAAAACTGAGGTCCATCATTCCGAAGTAAGAAAATACCTAGGTAACATAATTAAGGGTTCCGGATGCCCTAACCTAACATTAGTTCGGCATGTCAGACGTGATACTAAGGTACTAAAGAATTGCATGTCAGGCCAGATCCCCGAGTCTGAAATTAAACACTCTCGACCTCGTCCTAAATGTCTCGTACGATGTATACCCACTGCTCAACCATTAAGTTGTTCCGTCTTCTTCCTCCCAAATATGGCTATGGATGTAGAGTGGTGGAAAGCTATGCTAAGGCATTTTCGTCCATCCCCGAAACCGGTGGTTTTGCACGTACTCATTAAATGCACTAGAAAGCAAAGACTTCCCTTATTGAACATATTGGGGCACAATAGCCGAGGTCTATTGTGGGCTCTAGTTCTTTATAACTTCAATAAGAAGAGAATCCTTCTTTATGGCTGAAGATATGCCGGGAACATAATTGCTGATTCACCGGACTGGTTGGATGACGATTCTGTCGGTTGGAACTCTTGAAGCAACAGAATGCGTTCAAACATGGCACCGTAAAGAAATGCCTACAAAATATACCTCTCTCTACCTGTAATGCATATCATCTAGTTTCCAGCTTTAAGACCCACGGATTACTTGCTGCGTGAAGTTTATTATTGCCAGATTCCCGCCAGGGGAGATATGGGCTTGACAATTGAACCCACTTGCCTCTCTAAACAAATCTGCATATTAATGCATCCTCAAAAAGGGTATCATCTGGCTCAATGCTATGTCATGCCGTAAACGCCATCGAAACCTATCTTCCCGTATGGACACCGTACTATTATCATTCCCATCTGCATGGTCCCATGAACTCCAATCCTCAACCGAAACGAACGATATTTGTAAAGTCTCTCAAGTTAGAGACCAGGCGTAACATCCCTGAAACCAAACTGTCCTTCTCGAGTGCCCATTGTAGGTGATGTTCGGGTTTTCTCTTCAAAAAGGGCCTCGTTTGCCCAGGGCGGGAGACGGAATGCTCGGTTTCTCCTATTGTCCGCCGCTTCCCGCATTACTTTCATATCATCCGTAGCCCGGGATCGCTTCTCACCCTGGTGCGAGCTTCGACGCCTGATATTCTGCAAATTCTTTGAATAACAAATTAGTCAAGGTGCGCCCCAAATAAATAAATAAGTAAAAAGAGGGGGGGAAGAGGAAGTCAGAGGGTGGCAGAAAAGAGGACTGTCCAGAGCTGGGTTTGATGAGCATCATACATTTGGGTCGGGAGAACTGGTCTTCTCAAGTGCCCGAGTGGCGATCTCCGTTTCTGTGAGTGCATTGATGGCTTCGAGTCGCTTTTCGAGATCTTTCTCTTCGACTTGAGCCAAGTATTCCGGCGCTATAAGGCCTGTGGCAATTGCAATCACCCATTTTTCGTGCGACAGAAGCCGAATGAGTACCCTCCAATGCTTTGTGTCCGGAAGCAATCCATACTGGCCCTTCCTACGGACCTCGTTCACACGTATGGTTGTAGATTTGGCTATCTCGTCAGGTTTACCCCCTGTTTGTAGCACATTGCGTTGTTGCATTTTTTGAAGGCCCTCCCGCAAACAACCCTCGAACTCGACCATAGCAGGATTCTCGGTGACGTTGAAGACTCCACCTTGCTTAAAGATGGGACTCGCGCGCGACTGTGCAGGAATGATTGGGGTCGAGTGCGGCTCAATCACTGGCTCAGAATGGTTATACTCTCCGAAAAAGGTGTTCGCACCAGCCATTGGCATTGGTGCTGGGCCATGAATAGAAGTTGCAGGTTGCTGGGACACAGGCTGCTTTGTCTTATTGTATGTGTAAGCAGGGAACCCGAAAGCATGCCAGGGGGGAGGGGGGAGGACTTACAGGTGAGCTCGTTTCGTGAGATATTTTCTCGGCGCCTGAGACGTCCTGTTCCAGAGATGGAGCGGTTGCTGGAGGCGGAAATCGTGTATGGTGAAGCATACCCGAAGTATCATCAATTGATCGAGGGGTAAGCTGTTGAGATAACGAGCTCGCACGAAGAAGTTCATCCTGCTCTCCATACAACCTAGCCTGCTCCTTTAAATCCACTCGGTCTTTCGCCCTCAAATACTCCTCTGGGTTGGTTTCTCGAAGACGATTCAGTTCAATCATTTGAGCTACTTGCTTTTTCTCATCTTCAGTCAGCGCCGCGCCAAGATCTTCCTCTTCGAAAGTGTCCGTTGTCACAATGGATCGGATGCTCTCGCCGTTCTTGCGATGATTTATAAGCCCGTCCAGGATTCTGTCCCTGCCCAGATAAGGGGTGAGATCGCTTGGCGGACAATCTCTGATCACCGACACAACGTCGCCTTTGCGCTTTGACCAGCTGATGGGATTCTTCTTGTCAACGACTCGCGATGCTAACTGCATTTTGAAGACCTGTCTGTTGTGAAGATTATCTTCGAAAGTTCCTGCGACCATGAAACGATAAACGAATACAGGCTTTTGCTGGCCGATACGATACGCTCGGCCCACCGCTTGTTGCTCATCCGATGGGTTATATCTGACGTCAAAAATGACGACCCTGTTAGCCCCCTGAATGTTGAGTCCTACACCACCAGCAGTTGTAGATATCAGAAACACCTCTTTGCTACCCTCATTGAAGTCTTTTGTCTGCCTCTGTCGACTCGGAACTGGTGTGCTGCCATCTAGGCGAGAAACTGTCCTTCTCTGCATTCTGCACATGTTTTCGATATAATTTAATGTGTGTAAGGACTGACTGAAAATGAGCACCTTGTCTTTGACTTGACGCGCCTCGTCGAGTATGATTGTCAGTAGTTCTGTTTTTAATGAAAGCGTTGGCGTATCCAGGTCCCTAAAGGAATGCAACGTTTTCAAGAACTCTGGAATCATAGACTTGGGGAAGGATTTGTCCTCATTGTCATTGTTCGAGCGGATGCCCTTTTGAATTGCTTTCACCTTTGCTTCAAAGCATCGTGGGTGGCTGCAAATCAATCCAAGATGGTTGATGGCAGCAAAAGTCTCAGCTTGCGAGTCGGTGCCTTCTCTTCCTACACCCCTGATGTACAGTTGATACAACTGCTTCTGAGGTATCGTCGGAGGCACGAATATGATGAATTCCTGCTTTGGTGGCAAGTCGTTTTTTAGGGCAGCGATCGTGTGGCGATTGATCTTCGGTGCCACAAGTTGCTCAAGCGCCTTCAGCCTCATTTGTGCTTTCCTTTTTTCACCTGGAGTGCTGTCGTTGTAGAGGCCTCGCTCGACCGGAGAGGCATAAATGTGGCTAAACTCGGAGAACGGGCCAAGGAAGTTGGGGGCAACCCAGTCAATCATGGCAAAATACTCTAGTACACTGTTGGACAGTGGTGACCCTGTGAGTGCAATGCGACTCTTTGTTCTGAAGCGCGAACAAGCTAGGTTAGTTTGCGACTCCCGATTCTTCATCTTATGCGCCTCATCGGCGATGACCACATCTGTACGATTTGTCAGAAGGTCTGCTAGCTCATCTGACATGTTCATGATGATTTTGAACATTTCGTAGCCAAGTGTGAGGACGCCTCTGCCGGAAGCCCATGACGACACCACCGCAGCCCTTTCCTCGACCGGTGTATTAGATGAGACCTTGCGTAGCTCACCCAGTAGATCCGCTGGTGCCCATTTGAGGAGCTCATCCATCCAGTTGTCCACCAAGGCAGCTGGACAAAGAACCAGAATCCGCGGTTCCCTTAGATCTTCGGGTATTTGAGCCACTACAGATGGATCTTCTGATTGTGCGGCCTCTGCCAAAGCCACGAGGACCGTGATGACTTGCATCGTTTTGCCAAGTCCCATTGTGTGAGCTAGCAAACAACCTTGTCGCACACTGGGGTCTCGCACAATCTGATTCCAAATAAAACGGACGCCGTCAATCTGGTGATCCTTAATACGGCGACCAATGTCCTCATGGATGTAGATAAGACCTTGGTCTTCTTCTTTGCTTTCGTTTATGATAAGGCGAGTCCCATCCCGCGACACTGAGCCATCCAGTGCGAGGGTCTCCCTCAATTTCTTTCTGCGAGCCTCTTGTTCCCTGACCCTTTGATTCTCGCGTTCTCGAAGATCCACGGCTGCTTTATCACGGATGATTTCTTTTTCTTTTGGTCTTCGACGCCCCGCACGCCCTTCCTCAAAGACATCGTCAGGGTCATCCATCTCATCCTGTTCCTCTGGAAATAGGTCATCGAGAATGTCCATGTCTTGTCTATAGATCTGACTATCCTGGGGGAAGTGAGGCATAAGAGCCGCTACGAACAGACAGAGAGGTTCGAAGAAGTTGACTCGTGCCTGATTCAATGTTTTCCTCAACTTTCCTATTTTATAGGAAAGCATTTGTTCTTCTGTCGTGTGCTGACACATGAAGAAGCAGCGACAAAGACGTAAAACGTCAAAAAGAACAACCTTTACGTTGCCCTGTGGTAGCTGATCGGGATCTTCAAAGGGTTCGGATAAATATGGCTGGATATGCTCCTCCCATACATTATTGGGGTGATCTGATAATATCAGATCGACTGCTGACTTCCGCCGGGCATGTTCCATATGCCACATCTCACCGACCAACAATCGCCAGCGATCGTTGCGCTTGACGTAATTTTTAAGTGGTTGAGATGCAAGCTGCTGAAGATCGCCAAAACTCTCAATGGGAGGGGGCTGAAAGCCGCCAACTTGACGTGGAGATTGTAGTTTTTCTGGCTGGATCTCTTGGCTTTGGTTTTCGTCATGACCTTTTTCAGAGACATGGTTAATGGAAGCCTGGCAACCGACAACATCGGGTTCAAGTGGTTTGTTCTCGACGTTAGCAGGGTCGTCGCTTGTCAAGCTCTCTCCGTTGGTGATGGCTGCATCAGAAGGGCCTGTATCAAGAGTTTGTTTTACAGAAAGATTCTTTCTGAGAGGGGTGGCGTTCCCCTGGTCTCCCTTCAATGGACAATTCGCTTGCTTAGCAGGGCTAGTCAAATCGATAGGATTAGTCATGTCATAACCCAAGCCTTGCGGTTCATCCATGTCGTCCTGAGTTAAATCCATGAAGTCAGTTTCGAAATCCTCCCATTCATGCTTCATAGGGGGGGGTGTTGAATCCTGAACAGTCATCAACCCATTTTCAATTGCATCCAGGTGGTCGTCAGGAACGATGAAGTCTTCCTCTTCGGAGCTAGTCAGAACTTCGTCTTCCATAAGGGCCAAAGTGTCCAGCTGCCGCGCGGCGCGTGGTTTCGAACGGACCACTGTTTGTAGTTTTGGGGGTGGCCTTGACGATTCAAGCAGCTTGATCAACCACTCCTGATACTTCTTGTCTTCCAAACTTTGCTCAAGGCTCTTGGCTGCCTCTCGGTAGTGTGCCTCGGAGGCCGAGTCCGTCTTCTGGATCTCTAGACAGAGTTTCTGGAGTCGTTCGACAAGATGCTTAGCCGTTTTGTAAGCATTCTGAATTTGTATGCTCTTCATGCCAAGGCGGCGAGATTTCTGCCATAGACTATAAGCTTTTCGCTCATACTTTGGGAGCTTCTTCTCAGTCCAGTTTTCCTCAATAGCTGTTATGGCCTCATTTAATATCTCTGCGATTCGCTCAGGAGAGACAAAAAGATAAGGCTGGGGATTGTTGTCGAGAGCAGCAAGCCTCTCGTTCTCAGCCTCTTCTTCCTTCATCTCCCTCAAGGTCTCAGCGTCCAGTTCGTTGTCAAGGTCGGCGAGTTCGAGGATCTCATCAGACTCGTTGGAAATATGACTTGACGACCTAGAGGAATGGATAGGTATGCGATAGCGGCCTGTGAGAAGCCGCTTGAGAATGTTGTTTGCCGCGAGTCTTCTTCCAGGTGGAATTGTATGGATGCTGAATGAAGTAAAGGAACCGTCGCTCTCATTGATGAGAGAGCTCAACATGCCAACTGGGGTCAGCATGTCCTCTCTCGAAATCTTGCCCTCGCCTAGATAGGCATACGAGGGTGCATTATCCCACGGAAAGTCTGCAGGGTCATCGTCTGCAAACTCCACCCCAGCCTTGGTGGTCGCGTAGTCAAGCACATCAGCTTCCGTCGGAAGGAAAGCGGGATCGGCGTTCCTTGGTATGTCTGTCAACAGCATGGGCGCCACCCGCCTGCGTTTACTAGACCTCTCATGAAACTCGGGAATTTGGTCAGGAGGCTCATGAATGGGCGGCTGGCGAGAATGCGTCGCAAGTTGAAGCTGGTCGTTTGCTTGGCGTGTGTGCGTTTGGTTTTGGCTACCCAATTCCTGCTGCAATGGGTTCCCTACAGCATGGGGAATCTTTCCATTAGTATCAGAAACGGAAACAGGCGTTTCCTTTTCTTTAAAACGATCACCGTTCGGAAGATTGAAGGATTGCCGTTGTTCCATGGCATGTGTTGAGGTTTCGGTCTCCTCGCCAGGGAAACCAGATTGTTTTCGCCTGAAGTCGGCTTGCCATTCCCAATACTCCTTACTTTTAGAGCGAAGAGTAACGATAGCTTCTGCGAGGGCAGCTTTGTGGCGGGCGATCCTAATGCCGAGACATTCCATCAACTCTTGACGCGAACACACATCTTCAAAGGTTAATAGAGTCTTGCCATTAAACTCCTCCTCCTGGATGCGTGTGGCGAGGAATGCAGGATCTCGACTCCATGGGACCCCAGGAGCGCAGAGTCGATTAACAACCACGTCGATATCCCAGGAATAGGGATCATCCACAATGTCATCCATTTGGCGACACTCTTGCTTAGAAGAGCACAGATAATTCTTCTATCGAACTTGTTATTAAAGATCTAGTAAGACAATTAGTCAGTAGGAAGGGAAGAGACATACGTGAGAATCCTTATTATACTTCAAAGTATGCGCTTTTGTGACAGGCCTGCTGAGTAAAGGCCCAGCGACTAGAATGTGTGTGGGACGAAATGTGCATAGCCGCCGCCGCTTGGCCGCGTTTGACAAAGGCCACTCAAGGCTGAAAACTCGCTGTCTTTTAGCGTTTAAAAAAAGTCCAGAAAAGATGAAGACTTGGGTGTCAAAGGCTTGGCTACCTTAAGGAAAGTGTGAGGTGAAGTGAAAGTGCAAGCAGAGCGCAAGAGCTGTGAAACTGGGCGAAGGGGGAGGAAAATCTCCGGGCTGGTTTCTCTATGAGTTCTATGGGATCATTAGAGTAAAAAAAAACTGAGAAGAAATAAATCAAGTTTCGCAGAAATCGTAGGTGCAAAGTTGAGCGATGTTGGGGAGAGTGCCTTCTTTTCCATTCAGAGCGCGTTTGATGCACGGTACCCAAGGCAAGGCTGGTACTGTGCGGGTGGAATTGGCAACCACCTCCACTTATTACCTAGTAGTAGGCACCTAGGATCGGGAGGTACATAGCAGCTTTGGTCTGTCACGTGACTCACGAGTCTCAATAAGCAAAGGAGGTGCACCAGTTGTTAACACCGGAGATAATTGAAAAGCTGAAGAAGGAAGAAGAAAACAGAAATATTGAGAAAAAAGCGCATAGGGAAGAGAAGACATTAGATAAAAGGTAGCAGTCTTTCCTGCTCTAATACTGCAGATGCCTACTAATTTTATATAGGTAGTATTTACTCAGGTAAGCTACCGACTAGGTCAGCTAGTACAAGTGCGTTTCAATCGCATCTACCTTACCTACCTACCTACTAACCTACCTATCCCAGGTTCATCACATCCATCTTACTCTGTTCTATGACGGATCCATTGTCTTCAGCTTTATCTTGTTCATGTCTAGGGGATCTTGATCATAAATGACAAAAAGCTTTAGGTAATTTAGTATAAGTTTAGCTTAACTTAGGATACCTTTTGCTGAGTTTATTTTGACATCCCATATCGAGGCCGATGTTTTCTTGCTCCCTGAGGCATGCACACTAGAGATCGACTACTGTGTTTGGCGGTGCCTCAAGATATCATTATACCATATCTCCTCCGACTTAGAATGTCGACCTCGCCGGAAGTAAAGAGAAAACCAGGATAAGTAAGGTGGGCATGGAGGTATTTATTACTTCACCCAGTAATATAAACTCCACAATCTGCTACCTCGCTATCGTAAATGCCCCTCATAAAACACCAAAATAAAGTACTACACCTACGCAGAGTCCTTCTAGTCCAATTGCCGTCCAAAGGGTGAACCCATTCACCGTGGGTCTTGCAAGTGGCCTATCGCCCTAAAATTAAGTATTTGAACATGAGAACGAGCCTTTTATCTTCGGGTATTCCGCGTCCCGCACCCACTGTAATTATTAAGCCACCCCGTTCAGCTAAGCACGCAAGCCAGCGTCTTGACTAATACACCAAGGACTTTTCATGCTTCTCTTCCATACCTACTAGTATTCACTTTACCCAAGGTAGTCTGTCATCAAAAGTATCTCACGATTCCAGTTACTCGGTGAACGCCTCATTGCAAAGCCTAGGTCAGTTCCAGCATAATGGCTTCTCTCACAGACGGGAGATACCCACCCACTCTCAAGACCGAAGAAAAGGACGCCCTCATCGAGACCGTCAAGGACTGGTCAATAGGCAATGGCCTCGCAGTAAGGCCTCCTCCCACAGTCATAGCCGCCGAGGCAGACCCCAAAAGCATCGCTGCTATCAACGTTCCTGTGACCCTCTTTCCAAGTCCATTTCCCAAACAATGCTTCGCCCAGGGTAAGGCAGTTCAAAAGACTTACAACGAGCTGTATGCCTCAGTGAGCAGGGATGAAGAGTTCTTGGCTCAGGTTGTGAAGGAGTGAGTACGCCTCAGGTTTGCATGCTATCATTTCTAAATAAATTCAGGGTCTCGGATGGTGATGAGTTTATTCGGAACTTATGGGAAGTTCATATCAAGGTTAAAGCCGAGGGATATACACAGGCAAGTGTCTCTCGATTTAATTGAAGACGTCTCATTAACAAGACAACAGCCCCTGTCGCTAGGCTTGTTCCGCTCAGACTATATGGTGCATCAGGACACTGAGACCTCGAAGTCTTCTTTGCAAGTCAAGCAGGTTGAGTTCAACACCATCGCTTCTTCTTTTGGCGGTCTTTCGACGCACACCTCTGCTCTCCACAAGTAATTCGACTCCCTTCGTAAGCTGTCCATTAATAAACTGAGCCTAATGAGAACAGGTATCTTGCTACAGCCGAGTACCCGATTTTGGACAACTCTATTACCCAGGGATCACTAGACTTGCCCGAGAACACCAGCACTCGTGGCTTAGCAGCAGGTATCGTGAAAGCGTACAATATTTATCCCGACTCTGAACTCGGCCACCAGAAGTGCGTCATCTTTCTCGTACAAGATGGCGAGAGGAATATCTTCGACCAGCGCCATCTTGAATACCAAATATCTAGCTCTTCGACATCTATCCCTGTGTTCCGACTCCCTTATTCCCAAATCCTCCGGCACAGCAAGATTGCAGACACCTCTAAACGCCAGCTTTTGTACATTCTTCCAAGAAACCCTTCCAAGGTTTACGAAGTTGCTGTGATCTACATGCGATCTGGATATGGGCCTTCTGACTACCCTGATCAACGAGCTTGGGAGGCTCGTTATCACCTGGAGAGGTCGAATGCTATCAAATGCCCTAGTGTCCTGACTCAACTAGCTGGAACGAAGAAGGTTCAACAAATTCTCGCAACACCGCGCCCTTCCACAGAGCCCTCGGCTCTGAGTAGGTTCATTCGCGATGACACAGATGAGGCAGCTGAGCTGTGGCGCACATTTACCAACATCTACCCGATGGACAGCAGCGATGCCGGCCTTGAGGCTCGGAAGAAGGCCCTCGACCCCAAGATTTGCCAAAATTATGTGTTGAAGCCCCAGCGTGAAGGTGGTGGCAACAACATCTATCGGGGTGCTATTCCAGACTTCCTCAAATCTGTTCCCGAATCCCACTGGGGATCTTATATTCTCATGGAGCTCATCACTTCCCCACCTGTCAATAACACCATTCTTCGCAATGGCAATCTAGAGCAAGGCGGTGTCATCTGCGAGCTGGGTATTTATGGCACTTGCATCTGGGACCAGAACACAGGCAAAGTTCACCACAATGAGGAAGCCGGGTATCTTTTGCGCACAAAGGGTGATAAGAGCGAGGAAGGTGGAGTCGCTGCTGGTTTCGGATGTATGGACAGTTGCGCGTTGGTGTAGATGCTCTCAGATTCCTGGCATAGCTCTTTCGGCATCCATAAGGTATCGACATCATACAATTTTTTGTTGACAAGCAGGCCTGCCTTCCTAGAGGAATCCTTACCTGCTGCCATAGAAACTTGCCCAAACGGAGGAGAATCCGCCATGAGCCTAAAGAGCTGGGGCCACACGTAGGACTTACGGCCACAAGGTAGTCTTGGTGCGGAGTAGTGCTTTGACAACTCTTCCTAAACCATAGGCTCTATTCTGTAGCCTGTATAAGACACACGACGAAGGAATAAGTGCGTGATCAACAAAGTTTATTACATCGTGATATCATACATATCCTCCTAAGGTTGCGCACAACGCTCATCGTACGTTACATCCATACATTAACATCCAACAAAAGAAACGGGACATAGTGAGAGAGGAGAACAGGTAGGCAGAATACTACGGCCAGGTGATTTATTTGCGACCATGTTACAAGAAGGAATTCAGTTGATATTTGCTGCTTACTCGCCCTGCTCAGGAGCCTGGGGACGTCGGAGAACCTCGAGGGTGCCTCAAGAATGGTTAGCTGTGGTGAATGGTATCTAGGGAGGAGTAAACATACGCTGGACAACATTGAAGCTGCTGCGGTTCTGGCCGTTGGAGTCAGTGTAGGTGCTCAAGGAGGCATCACCCTCGACGTAGACGCTGGCACTATGTAATGGTCAGCACAAAATACCACGTTTTGCAATTGTTTTTATAAGTCATCGTACCCTTTAGGAAGGTTCATGAGGTAATCGCGCTGAGGGCCCTCGGCGAAGCTAGTGACTCGGAACCAACTGGTCTTGCGGTTGTCTCGGGGGCCGCTGTTGCTGGCCACAGCGTAGCGGAGGACTTCGCGACCGGTGCTGGTGGAGTGAACCTCGGGGGTGTCGGCGAGATTACCAATGATGGTGATCTTGGCCAGAGGTCGAGGGGTGGTGGTGCTAAAGGCCCGGGCAGCAGAGACAGGGGCGACAGCGGCGCGGCGGAAGACGGAGGAGAAAGACATGTTTGCTTGCTTGCTTGTGCGATACGTTGTTGGTGAAGAGCTGAAGCTGGGAACCGGGGCGGCGAGGGTATGGGTGGGTGTTGATAAGGCGGGCACTGGAGGACTGAGCTTTGGTATGCTTGTCGCGTCAAGACGGTTTGTTTCGAAACCCTGATACGCGATAGGGTGGGCAAGCTGAAATTGGAATTAGGGATGCTCCCTCAATGCGCTATTTGATTGGATAAGATTGGAGGTGTTGTGCGACCCGGTAGATGGGTGCCGTTGAATGTGGAGTGCTGGATAACTACATATCTGCAACACTGCGATTTGAATACGAACTTGCATTTATGCGCATCAACGTTAACCTACTACCATCATCAAATAATAATAAAGTTCCAATGTCATGAAAGCATCAACCCGTTCAACTTCCGAGTGGCCAAGAAGTGGTCCATTCCAAAAGCGGACTTCGCTTCTCGGTGAGTCGGAAGAAACGAAACACTTCCTACAGTATAGAATATTCACTAGCGGCGACAGACTGAAATCACCATTTCAATTGCACTCTCTTGTTCATCCTCCCGTCTACGTTAGACCGAGTGCTCCGGATCACTCCCCATAAATGATCAAATCAATATATTCTACGGAAAAAAGGCCATGCTCTACGGCTCAGACTTTAGCGCCGCCGATCTCTTTGCCAACTTCACCAGTATTAGATCGTACAGACCTGTTTCTACTTTGTAAATGGGCTTGAAAGCATCCATGTATGTTGCAGCCTAGGTGCCTATTGAGCTTTATTCAGTGGTCTTGTTCGCTTACCCCTGTCAGATCCACTTACCCGATCGGGTTGTCAATAGACGCCCACAATAGCCGCGCCTTATACAAGCAGACAGGACAGTAACGCCAAAATCTAAATGGAGGCGGAGATTCCAGCTTCTTCCTTATTGAAAGGGTGAAATAGGGGGCTAATAATAGTCCTACGATCGAAACATGCTGCTGATCAGGGACACAGGAACGCCAATTGGCATGCCGCCCCTTCATCTCATCTCATGTCGAAGTGACGGTACCGCCGTCTAATTAAGCCCTCCACCATGACACATCTCGCTGCTATTGACTTCCTTCTTCCTCCATTATATGCTATTGAAGTCCTTCTCGACATAGCCAACAGAGCCAATGCTTCCTGGGTGAGGTCCTTGCGCTACCCGCTTTGATCAACCGTTGAGCCAAGACGTCAACGTCCGGAGCCATCTTGCGTCTATCACCATCACCAACAACACCAAGTTTCTCTGACCTTGATAAATCTTGAGATATACCCATTCCTTCTTTAACTCCTTTTTCGTTGTCGTCATGATCGACTCAGCTCGCCTGTCTGGTCGTGACGACTTGTCTATCATCGTGGCTCCTGGACCCGGAACCATCACTACTCCATCACTCACAACCAACCTTGTTTGCAGAGTTCTCTTCGGGCTCATCGCCAATATCGCCTGTATAGTCCCCCTAAAGAGCCTCTACCGTAATGGAGAATTCGCAGCCGTGGTCTTTATTGCCAACATCGAATGGTCAAATCTCGACACAATAATTAACGCTCTCATCTGGCGGAACGACGACACTAGCAAGTGGTGGAATGGCGAAGTATTCTGCGATATCAATGCTTACTACGTCAACTTCACTGGCGCCTTATTCGGAACCTGCCTCCTGGCCATCATGCGGAATCTTGCCCAGCAAGTCGGCCTCCTTCGTGCCAATGCCCTCACAGTTCGGGAGAAACGCCGGCGTAACTTGGTCCAGGCACTCATCATGTTTCCCCTTCCAATCATCCAGGTCGCATGGGTCTGGCCATTGACTACTCAGAGATACGCAGTAGCTACCCTGGCTGGATGCAGCTGGATTGCATGGCCTTCGTGGCCCTATATGGTCTTCTTCGTCCTGGCCCCTGTTACAGTCGCACTGATAACATCTGGATATGCAAGTAAGTCTATGCCTCCCTCATCACCTAGCCATAGATAAGTCTAAGGTAGTTAACGTCACACAGTCCTTGTCTATATACGCTTTCGTGACATTGCAAAAACCACTCGTTCGGCGGTCAACAGCAGCAGGTCTGCTAACCAACGCGCTCAGAGGACGAAGCGTCGCCTTTACTTAATGGTCTTGGCCATATTAGTCCCTTATCTACCTCTTGTGGTCACCCTTGCTGTTCTCAACATGCTGAAGGCATTTCCTCTTCAACCCTTTGATTACGACCTCATCCATAATCGGGTGATACCCTATCCATGGTCGGCAGTCATTTTTGTCCCTTCCAATGGTGTTAACTTCGGGTATCTGAACAACTGCTATATCCACATACTTTCCGCCATTCCTGTCGTCATCTTTTTTGGCATGACCAAGGACGCCATGAATAGTTATCGTCGCGGCTTGCTCTGCCTTGGCTTTGGATGTCTCTTCCCCAAGCTTCACGAGGAGTATGACCCTGACAGGACAATCGGTGGGAGCAGTTCTGGACACTCTCGTTTTATGGGTTCCACGACTTCGACGTGAGTAAACAACTGGGGAGTTTCACGCTTGTATAACTAATGTTACATAGTACCTCTTCGATATCGAGCAAGATCAGGAGTCTTCTGTCTCAGCGCAATTTGAGCACGGCGTCCTCTGCGAGCCTCAACCCAATATCTTTACAGTTCACCGACGCCCCTCCCGTGACTCATGAAATCGAGTTAGGACCTCGAGTGGGAGAGTTGCAAGTATCACAGTCGCCGTTACGGGAGATTTCCTATCCTCACCCAACTGTTTCGACTTCATCAGAACCCATCAACCCACCTCCTCGTAACCCTTTCCTCTTCCGAACGCGCTTCGACATGCCCACCATTCCATTTCGTTCAATCTCCTCATTTCGCTTCGGCAAGAAGAAGGATAAACGACCCCCGCTTGATCACGGTTTATCTCTTGACTCTCTTCCCTGCGTCGTCAACGAACAGTCATGGGAGAACAGCTCCGCTACGCAGCCTTGCAGTCAGACACTTGTTTGGGCTGATAGAAAGATCGTCCCAACTCCCGGTGTTTTTACTACCGAATCCAGTCTGTTGGTTCCTATGTCGTCGACGTATTCTGTCACAACTGAACCACTGCAGGAAACATATCGGCGCTAGGAGCGCACGTATGGCTGGGCGAGATGATAAGCACTATACATACATTCAGTCGATGCAATGGGAGCCTTGTCTTTTATCTTCCTTTATCACTATTTTGTTTTTCATGTAGCCCGTGTTATCCGTACCAGGGCTCGGCATCATTGCAGGCGACGGCGTAGTTTTGAAAAGCTTTTACTCTAGTTTAGATGTGCGTCATCAATTACTCTTACAAGTCTTGATAATCCACTTTTCATGAACTCCTTTTCCCCTTTTACTGTTGATTAGTTGGCTATTGAGCTTAGATGAGCCTAAATTTGGACTTTGCCATCGATTTGAGAGTGAGAAATGCACTAGATTAATCCCTAAGTGTTTATCTAGTATATATAATGTAACAAGGAGCCTTCCGAGCTCCAGTATCATATTTTACCCATGCTTCGTAACCACCCCACCCCAACTTTTAATAGTGACCGTGAAACCCATTGTTATCATAATAATCAGAAAAGATAGAAAATAGGTATGTGAAATGGCTCGGTAAAGGAAAGGAAAGAAAGAAAAAGAAACTAATTTGGAGCACAATAGATCCAGAAAAAGTTGCTCAGGGCATTGATTACATGTCTTTGGCGTGCCTCTGAAGCTTACGCATAGCTTCACGATGAACGTCAAGAAGGTCGCCATTTCGCATTCGTTCGTCGAAGGCTTTGTCAGCCCATTCCTTTTCCCGCTGCTGTGTCTCGCGGCGCTGGGCTTCGGCTTGCTTTTGACTCAAAAGGATGTTACGACTCATGTCTACACTGCGCTGGACCTCAACTTCTCTGCTGGCCAAGAGAGACGATGGGGTGAAGGGCGTCTCACGGCCAGAACTGCTAATGACAGGGGTACCTGCGCGTAACTCATGCTGAACTGACTGTCGGAATGTCGCAAGAGCAGCCTCGCGGGCTGCAGAGGTGGGAAGAGTTGACACACGTTTCGGTTGGTGGGTGTTCAATAGTGCTTCTGAAGTATTGAACCCGTTACCGTTGCTGCCGCCACTGAGCCGCTGCAAAGACGGTGTTGAAACTGAAGGGCTTAGACTACTCTGTCGCAAGAGTTCTTTCCTCTGATTCAATGGCAAGTCGTCCACATCTACACCAATAGCAGCGGCGTACATCGGATAATTGCTGAGTGATCCTGCGTCGCTCGAAGCTCTGTGGCGTGTGGCAATGTTCACTTCGGATGAGCTGGACACCAGGTTCCCTGCCGATTTATTGCGCAGATACATTTCCCGTTGGCCAAGGAGAGTCTGGGGGCTCGAATAAGATATAACGCCTGGTGTTGAAGTGCGTTGACTTTCATTTGCCGCTGGAACAGTCATGTTTTGCAGCCCCATGGTTTCCTCCTCAGCAATCGGTGGAGTCAGGCTTGAAACAATTTGTTCTTCTGCAATTGGAGCGATTCCGCCCGAGGCTATTCGCAGGCCTCCCGAAGAAGTTCGTGCCATAAGGCTACTAGTTGGAGTGGTCCCAGGGCTTCGGTTCTGACTCTCGCCTGTGAGCAAAGCAAGAGCGGCTGGAACGTGTTGTTTTACGTTGCGCCTTGAAGCTGTGTGCGAGTAATTGGACGCCCGAGAGTCCGGTCTTGGAATCATGGGTGCAGGGGTTCCTTCGGCTGACGATTTTCGGAGCTCGTCGACATGTACAGGTGCGGGCGCCTCAATGGTCGGAACCGCTGGGTTTTGCGATACCTCGATGTAAATTTCATCAACTTCTGGAGCTTCAGCATTGCTCAGATGTTTCGCCCACTCGTTGGTTCTATAGGAAAGTGCTACCCGCGAGAGTGACCTAGGTAGACGATCTTTAGTCAAACTAACACAGGCTGATGAGCCAGAAGTCGCGGATCTGGTCTTTTCCACGTCAGCCGAGGGAGGCTCTTCGGCCTTGGTAGCTTCGTTTCCATTGGTACGCATGAACGTCTCCTGGTCGATTGGGGGCGGGCTCGGTTTGCCCTTATCATCCGTCTCAGAGAGCTCGGCGTTGATCTTAATGCTCTTCGGGAGCTCTGAAATCGGACGGGACTGGCGAACATCACCACTCATGCTGTCGTCATCAATTGTCGCCGCAACTGAGCCGTCATCGTCTCGTGGTCGCGATCGTGGAATCACTAACTCATCAGTACTTTCGCCATGTTCGTTTTCTGGATGGTCTCCAAAGACACGACTAGATCGGTGTGAAATGTTGCCAAGAAGCTCCATTGATCCCCGGGACAGGCGAGAAAGTCGTTTAGCAAACGAGTGTCGTTGGCCCGAAGTATGAATTCCAGTATCTTCTTCTTCGTCGGCGAAGGTCGCCACCGAGGAACGATCACCGTTCGTCAGCGCACCATAATTATCATCAGCGACACGAATGGTGAATGGAAGAGGAACGACAGGAGGCACAGCAGATTTGGCAACAGATGACTGTGTCGACATGCGCCGATCAACCTCATCGCCTTTGAGAGGGAGATTCTGCATAGCAGTTCCGGTATCCAATTGCTGATCCCCTCTCCCCATGGTTGGCCGTACTGTATCGTCCGTGGCAACGCGAACTGTGACCCTGCCATCTTCATCTTGGTCAGAAGACATCAATGTGACGGCAGGCTGCTTTTTGGTTTCAACAGCATCTGGCATCTCCGCCATTTCGATGACCTCAACAATCGAAGTCGAGCGTGTTCTAGAGGAGTCCGTTTGGCTGCTGCGATTCCTTTTTTCGTTTGTGGGCTCTGCATCGTCCAAGTCACGCGAAGCTGTCAAGCTTCCGACATCTCCATCACCATATATTCTCTCCCATTGACGCCTTTCTCGAGCGTTCGCTTCTTCAATGTTCCGGCCTACTTGCTCCTCTTCCTCGCGGAGGTTGCGCTCTCCTTCGGCAGCTTCCTCCGCCTTTTTTTCACGTTTCTCCCGGACAATTTTCCATAGTTTGATCTGTGAGATAATACCAAAGAGGAAGATGATGATGATGGCTGCAGTTTCCACGCGGATACCCTTAGTAACCGGGTACGTATTTGCGCCAAGAGGGAATAAATCATCGTTCAGTTCCCAAACCCAGGCCCAAAATTCCTTCAGTCCAGCCCGGCTGAAGCAGTCTATTCCCAAGACTGTAATAGTGGCCCCAGAAAAGGCGATCATAAGAATAAGCGACCAGTCCCGAGTATAATGGCTGAAGTAGAATGCAAACCCACCCACGGTGAAGCAAGCAATAAAGATGGCTTTTGCAACCACAGGTCCGAGTAACCCTCCAGGAACTAAGCAAAGAAGCCACATGCTAATACAGAAGCCACCAAGGGCACAGCCTAGACCTTCGGTGATCTCCCGAAAAAACATTGAGGCTCCGCCGAGGACGCACCCGGAGATGACAGCGGCAACCACATAGCCCCCCTGTAGAGCATCGCTGACTTCGGATTTCATGACATAAACAATGAGGACGGCAACGCCCAATGATGCAGCGAAAGCAGTTGAAAAGAAAGTATGGATCATTCGGTTTTTTATCCCGACAAGGCCATATGCGAGGCCAGTGATAAGTAAGATAGTTCCTGCAACGCCCCAGCCTGGGGTGAGCCTAGGCTCAATGGGCAGCTGTCCAGCGGGTATCGTAGCTATAAAATATTAGCTAATGTCCCAATCAATGTTTTCCGTCTATCAATACCATTGTAGTACGAGGAATCATCAAGTCCGCTTTCGAGGGAGCCATCTGTGCTGGTTGATGAAGGGTCTGAACTTTGTGTTTTCTCCGTCTCAGTGGCAGTCACTGAGATAGATTCGGTTTGAGACTGAGATTCTGAGGCATCAGAGAGTTCTGTCTGCCTCGCGGAATCCCCGCTAGTCTTCGTGGCAGTACTGTGTCCACGTGTTGACGTCGTGCTGGAATCGATTGCCGTTGTCTTCTCTGGGTTGTCGTCCGCTCTCGGAACTACCCTAAAAACCTCCCCGCTAACATGCTGCACAATCAAAAGTAGACAGAATAGTGCCCACAGCCGAAGCCACCGAGAGTGCATTGTTCGTTGATGGGATAAGTTGGTATGTAAGATGTTGATGATATGAAACCCAAAAAAGTCGTCGCAATAGTATGAGATTATGCAAGCATCATCAAGTGCTAAGCTCAAGGTGTTCGAACTAAGGTTGAAATAAGAAAAGAAACAAGAGAGAAAGACAGAAGCCTAGATCGAAAGCAGTTGAGAAGTGATACTGTTGCGTGAGATTCTGGTCGGATTAGATTTGGTTCATCGAAATTTTAGTTGGCAACGGAAGCGATATCAGGATAGCAGGTGATAGAAAGCAGAAATGGAAAAAAAAAAAGAAGAAGAAGAAGAAAAAACGTGTGACCAAGGCGCTTTTGGTGTAATCTCAACCGCGACTATCTTCAACAAATGGATGTGATAATATCGACGTCGAATCGGCAGCACAGCGCGGGACATCAGAGAAACAGAGCAAGCCCTCAAATCAAGTTCCTACACCTCCAGAGGAAACAAGCGCAGCTATAAAAGAGAGAAGAAGAGGTGACAGAAAATGGTTCAGGAACCAAGAACCGGGAAGGGTGTGGCATCATAGTTATCAGCTGCTGAGTGGGTGTGATCCTCACTTTCAAGATCCGATGGTGGGTGAGGGAGTCGAGACGGATGCAATGGGATGGAGACGGGGAGAGCGGCTGGGTATACCCTTGTTAGCATGGCCCAAGATTAGCAATGACTGGACGAAACAGTAGCAAATGGCGCGGCCGTTGAGAACAGCCTCTTGGGCCAATTTCCCAAGGGCCTCCTGTGACGCTGTGGTGTCGTGATGGATGGTCAACGAACGACTTACAGGACATCGCGGTCCACTGTCTTCCTGGTCCTTGGCTTGCACCAGCTTGCGATTGCCCACTTTTCAGGTTACCCTGTTCGGGATTAGCCGGTGGGGATCACGGCTCAAGCACCCCAAGACACTTGGCGGCCCACCCCTCATCGACTTGAAAGGCAGCCAATGGCGGCCAAGAGGTACCTGTTTCGAGTACTTTCAGGTACAAGCTCGG